TTAAGCCTAGCATGAGACCCAAGAGATATACATTGGCCGAGAAAAAGGAAAAAGAAGCAAGAAATGGATAGGGAAAAATATCAGCAAACTTTTTAGCACAATCTAAATACAATACTCCAAACAAAATAAATACTTTCAACTTTTCTCTAATTACAAAATTTTGGCTATTTAGACTCCTAAAGTACTTATTTATTTTTAAAAAGTTAATTATTCAAATGGATTTTCAACCCAAATATTGCTTCTATTTTAATGGCTGAGATACATTTTCTTTTCCTTATTTACATAATTAAATTTTCTCATTGGAAAACAATTAGGTTTTAACTACTACATGATTTTGATTATCTAACTTTAATCTCAATATTAACATTATAAAATTAGTAAGTATCAACTCGTCTAAACTTTTGTTGATATATACTCTAGCTACTAATAGAGATTAAAAATAGAAGGAAAAACTATTGAAAGAATTTTAACAATAAGTGCTTATCTAAAAGAAGGGGAGATTGCTTAGAATATAATTGAGGTGGGGTGGCCCAAAGCTATGGGGAATGAATTTTTTTTAATGTTCGATACTAGAAGCCTAATTGCACTTTGTTTGCTCTTGTCGCCTGGGTATCACTAGTCATGCTTATTCAGACGGTATCTGAGTAATTAGTTGATGTATATGAATTAGAAGTATCTCTTATACTCCAATAATATGTAATGATTTGGCAATAACCAAGAAGTTCTAGTTGGGATCTGCCCAACCTATGGAATTGCAGATATGATGCTTGTAATATAGAGACATAATTAGATTAGAAATTTCATGGCCTTGGAAAGTCACTGAAACTTCTAGATCTTAATTTTAGATTTTTTTTTATTTTTTATTTATTCAAATAGTATTTAGTTAATGAAGATTTTCAAATAATTAATTAGACAAAGGTACAAGTGTAATTTCACCGGTTATTAAAAGGGTTTTTTTAATTTATGTCTTAAAGGTACATATTAAAAATATATTTTTGTCATAAATGCTAATAAAAAAATTAAAACTGATATTAATTTTAGTGTTGATGTCAAATAAATAAATTTAATTAGACAATTGATAAATTAAAGGTCAATTATTTCTTTTTCAATGTAAATTTATGATTAAAAAATGTATTTACTATACCCTTAATTTGTGATTAAAGCATAAATGTTAAAAAAACCCAAATAATAAATAAGGATTTATGTGCATCAATGCAAATAGTTCAAGATTAATTATTTAAATATTTATTTTGAGAACTTTATTAGTAAATACTTTAGACTATAAGGGTAAATACTTTAGACTTTGAGGGTTAAAATCAAGGCCTTTTTCTTACTCTT